GTTCAGGTCTGGATTGTTAGCTCTCTTAAAATCATCTTTGTCCTTTTAACATCTTTTAGTAGATGCAGAGAAGAGTCATTAAGGCTACTGTGAATCTCTACAGCATGCAGAGCAGGTCTTACAGGTCTTTTTTTTACATTAGAAATAAATAGCTTTTCTATTTAAGAGACTATTACCAGACTTAAAAATGTAGCCTTGGAGCAAATAACCACCACAAAAATGAATAGGCAGTGAATGATTTGTCTGTCTTAAAGCGGTGTCAGGCTAGTTTATTGTCACTGTTGTATGTGAATTTGATACCTTGGAGGAGCCGACTACAGATTTGAGCTTGAATAGATGTGAACTCAGCGCTCACAGTAAATGACTGTCCTTTAGTCATCCACAAGGAGCGATGCTGTAAATGATTAATAGATAACGGAGCAAGCGTGTTTTTATTTATTTATTTTACTTATTTAGTAATATTGTCCTTAGTCCTCTTTGCATAACTGTGAATCCACTTTTCTGTCGGTACACATTTATTAACATTATTTAGCTGTGGGAAAACTGGATAGGACCCAGTGTAATGCTGTAGTGTCTCACCATGAAATTTAATTTAACTGTGGCTGGCTTTAGAGAGCATTCACAACTTCTCTGCTTTGTGAGAGAGAGATGCAGGAAAAGTCTCTGTGATCAAGCTATAGGCGTAGGGATGCTACCCTGAACACATGCTGTAGGTCTAAATGGATTTTGTGCCTTTTCCCTGTTTAATTTCTACTTTTCTTTCAGTAAAAATACCACATTTCCATTTGAAGAAATTGCTAGGAAAGAGCTTTTTTTTTTTTTTTTGCCACCAATTCTTTTCTCCTTGCCTTCTCCAGTCCTTTCTAATGTGTCTCATTACTGCAAAATAACTGAAGCAAAGATACGTCAGCTACACCGAGACTTTAATAAAACTAATTTCACATCCATTAAACACCAGCTCCTCTCCATTCTGTCTTTGCCCCTATCTGGCCCCAAATCTAAATGTTCTAGACACACCCTTGGTGGAAAGAAAAAACATCCAGTGGCTGTGAAATATTTTAACATACTGCAGAGTGCAGTTGGAGAAAAGCATTCCCGTTATACATCAGTCCATCTGCTCCAACCCACACACATAATAAAATCTCTTAACACTTCATACGGAGACTTTTGCAGTTCTGGGACAGACTTGTAAAATGAAACTAAGTTTTTTTTAAGTGCCGTTGTTTTGTTTGAATATTCTTGGGACGCACATCATAGCATTGCTGTACGAGTCCCGGGACATAAGGCAGAGAAAATGAACTAGAAATGTTTTCAGTACTGTAAGTTTTTGTGTGTGTGTGTTGTTTCTGTAAATAGCTTGATCAGACAGTAATATAAACTTGCCTTTATTAATAAAACGAAACAAAAAACGGCAGTAGTTTTTAATAGTGTTTATAAAAACAAATAGTGTTACAGGCACATGAGAGAAGACTAATGTTTGGCTCTTTTGACCATACTTGTGTGGGTATGCAATACTTTTTGACATTGTTAGGTTGTACTTGCACTCCAGTAAGCACAAAATACTTTCCGTTAACTTTGCTTTTCAGTTTCCGCTGCAATAAATGCTGTGCACTGATGTTTGTAGCTATAGCTGTAGGCTCCACGCACTGGCATTGTCATTGAAGAACGGTACCACAGTGCACCAAACAAACAACGTAGTTATTATTCGGGCCATGTAACATGTAAAGTAGCTCTTCAGTTCTTCAGCATCGCTACAGACTGTGTTTTAGGCAGTAGCACAGTTTGTTTGAAATTTAAACACACTTGTGGTCATGCATACCTTCTCCTATCTATTCTGCCAAGGAGGATTTTGTGGTGTTGCCATGACAGCAAGATGCACATACACACACAGCCCCACTGCAGGCAGGCCGATATGTTTTTAAACTACTTTATTTTCTGGTTGTGTTGGCTGTGTATGGGTCTTGGGGCTTCGAGACAGCTTTTGAACAGGTGAGAGTATAAAATCAAAAATTCTCTCACTGTCTCCTGCATTGCCTTTCTGCCCTCATCTCCAGATCTAAAGGTGGTTATCGGTCTTACGACCACCTGCATGCACGCGCGCGCACACACACACACACACACTGAGTGACTTTAACCCTGGAGAAACCATGGGGTCAAATTTGACCCCATGGTTTCTCCAGGGTTAATAAAGTAGGAAAGATTGAATGTACTGACCATATGCAGGGGAGATTTTGTTGTGTTACCATGACAAAAGTAACTGATGACATCACTAACAGAAGTGCAGACATTCCAGGCAGTTATAAATAAGAGAATGAGGAAAGAAGCAGGGAGAGAAGAAGAGCCAGCTCCCATCCTTCCTTTCACTGTGTATGCCTGCTCATGTCTTTAGCTTAAAAAAAAAAATCCTCAGAATAAAGGTTGCTTAACTCAAAGAAATGTATGATGGGTGCCAAATCCTTAACGATTCTTAAATTGGCGAATGAAATTATCAGCGCTCGCAATTAACGATACCTTGCTTTTAATGTTTCATAGCAGCAGAAAGAAACAAGTGTGTAGTTTGTCTCAGCCTTCATGCACTCAGTACTTTTCAATCAGGGTTGCCAGAAATGTCTTGGTTTATCATTAACTTAGTGGAGTGGCGGCAGGCTGGAGAAGAAAGTCATGCATCTGAATGTTGATGTTTTGGCAGTGAAGATTTCTTAGGATGTTTTCTCAATTGTAAGTTTGCAATGTGCTCAGGTATGTTATATCGCTATGCACAGATTTATTTTCTATTATGGTAATCTAACCCTAGGTCTGTTTGGAAGAGGTGGACTTATACTCCCCATCAGAAATGAAAGCTTGTTGTGAACAAACAAAACAAAACATAATTTAACATAAAAAAGGCTTCTTGGTACCATCTGACTCCTCAAAAATATCCTTGTCGATCTTTTATCTCACATCTGAATAACATGAGTTTTGCAAATGGGAAAGATTGTGTGGAGAGTCACATGTGCACCAAAAACAAAACAGCATTAGGAAAGTCTGCGTAGTAAAAGTAGCTGTAAAAACGGTATCAGTGTGATTTAGTGAATAGGCTAGCATTTTTATTTACCTTTTCTAGACTTTTTGACCTCTCAAAGTGCTTTTACAGTACATACTTACCCACCCACACACACGCACACTGTATTGCATCAGGGACAATTGAAGTTCCTTTTACTCCAAGGACACTTTGACATGCAGGATTGAAGAGCTCAAGATCGAACCACTAAACTTTTGATTATTAAATGACCCGCTCTTCTCCTAAGGCGACATTTTACATTTTATTCGACTTCAGTTCAAGTTACCTCAGTTGATGATCAATGAAGCACCAATTCCCAGGAGCAGTCGCCTCAAGGCGCTTTATATCGCAAAGTAAATACAATAATACAAATGTCC